TCCTTAGCCCAGGTAAGATGCTTCTGACGTTGTTTCTGTTTCAGAAGTGGCTTGGTAGCCCTTTTCCTGAAGACGTCTGAGCGTGGTGACTCTTGATGCACTGACTCCAGCTTCAGTCCACTCCTTGTGAAGCTCTCCCAAGTGTTTGAATCAGCTTTGCTTGACAATATTCTCAAGCTTGCGGTCAACCCTGTTGCTTGTGCACCTTTTCCTACCCAATTTCTTCCTTCCAGTCAACTTTGCATTTAATATGCTTTGAAACAGCACTCTGTGAACAGCCGCTCTTTCAGTAATGACCTTCTGTGACTTACCCTCTTTGTGGAGGGTGTCAAAGCAATGGTCCAGAAGACAATCAAAGTCAGCAGTCTTCCTCATTATTGTGGTTTCAAAGAACAAGATACCCGGAATTTATAGGGATGGTCATTTAATGAAACTCAAATGTAAATATTCTAATATTTTTTGAGATACTGGATTTTTGACTTTGATGAGCTGTAAGCACTAATCATCAAAATAAAAAAATTAAAAAACTTTTGAAATGTTTTACTTTACATTTAATGAATCTAGAATATATGAAAGTTTCACTTTTTGAAATAAGTTACAAAAAAAGAACTTTTTCACGATTTTCTAATTTGTTGAGATGCACCTGTACATACATACAGAACATGTATTTATGCATCGCTGCTTTCAGTAACTAGTTTTAACATGCCTTTGACTCAGTTTAGGCTCGTGACCCGTGTGACCTCTGCAGTTGCATTTTAGTTTTGACTGTTTTCCATGTCAGCTGTGCTTCTGTATTTACATCCCTGACAGCTGACGGCTTGTAAATCATTGTCTTCTAATTTGACCCTGGTCTTCTGATCTCAGATCTGCTCCAGACCACCGGAGACGGCTCAGAATGTCCCGCGCACCTGTGAGTCTCATCGCAGGCAGGTGATGTGTTTGCTGAGGGTTAATTTATGACACAGAGAGAAGCTGATAACTGTAGCTCCTGTCCGTTGGTTTTGATGTATAGCATTAATAATGATTGTCCTGTGTGTGTCCTGCGTTTGACCTCATTCTGACTATAACCAGGTTAACCGTTCCTGAGTTACAGCTGTTCAAAGACGGGCCTTGTAATCTGTTCACAAGCGTGTTTGTGTTGTAGTTTGATGGTGAAGCTGTCAGGAGGCTCGTAAACGCAGGCGCACCCTGTCAACACGACTGAACTCAATCTCATAAACGTTTAACACAACCCAAGAATGCAGCAAACGCCTGTTTCCAGCTGGTAGTTTAGTCGTCCTTTAATTATTTGCTGTCTTTCTTCTGTGTTATTCAGATTCAAACAGCTTTTGAAGCTTCACACTGATGTTTAGGACAGTCCTTGACCTCTCGTTGTAAGGATTTCCAGGTCACACATTAGGTTTTGGTGTATTAAGTGCCATTCACAACACATTTGATCTGTTTTTTTTGTGAAATTCAGTGTTTGAGTATTCAGATTCATATTCATGTTTATCCATTCAGGCTTTTTCTGGGATGTGGAGGTTGAAAGTGAAGGTCAGGCTTCAGAGCATCTTTACATTTCCCAAAAAGTCTACCCGTATTTGATATTACTACTGTAACTTTTAAATTAACATTAAACAGCAGTCCATTATTGTCAGGATTTTAGAAAGGCTGCATTACTTGCAACGGTAGCCTAAAACAACCAATAGCTTGTGTAGATTTTTGAATTGAATTGAATTGAATTTGATTTGATTTGATTTGACTTGATTTTGATTTGATTTAATAAATAGACACAATGGTTTTGATATTTTATTTTATATTTTATTTTATAGAAATAATTTTTAAAAATTATAAATAATTTTATAGAATAATAAATAAAATGTCACTTAGACGTTTTTGTGTTTAATTTGATTTATTTTAATTTAAAATTTAATTTAATTTAAATAGTATACACTAAATAAATAGTCACAATGGTTTAGAAATTTTCTTTTCTTTTATATTTATTTTATTTTACTTTACTGAAATAATGTACACTAAGTAAATAGTCCCAATGTTTAGACATTTTATTTTATTGAAATAATGTATGCTAAAGAATCACATATAGACAACAGAATGAGTTTATATATATATATATATATAGAGAGAGAGAGAGAGAGAGAGAATAATATTTACTATTATCTTTATAATATAGATAGATATTTATTTTATTTTTTTATTATTTTATTTTGACATGTACACTAAAGAATCAGCCAAATACTACTGAATGTGTATTAAAGTAAATAGTCAAAATAGTTTAGACAATTGTTATTTTATTTCATTTTATTTAATTTTCACAATGTACACCAGAGAATCAGTCACATACAGATGAATGTGTATTAAATTAAACAGTTTTGACTTTAAAGTCAAGACTGACGTGTCATATAAACAATAATACAGTCCCACAGAAAAAAGAGAGCAGAGTGTTTGTATAAAAGGTGTTTGACTCCATAAAAGCGTTTCGTTTCAGCTGATGCTTCAGATCTAATTTGGTCTTGCTGTAATTTTTAGGGCTGTTCCTGCTTCTGAAAAGTCTTCAGGCCACCTGTGCCAACCAGATGCTGCTGGAAATCCCCCTCTAGGGAACTTCATATAGCACTGTGTGTGTGTGTGTGTGTGTGTCTGCGTGTGTCTGTGTGTGTGTCTGTGTGTGTGTGTGTGTCTGTGTGTGTGTGTGTGTAAACACTAAGCTGCTAATACTATTAGCTGAGGATGAGGTTTAGCGTCAGTGTGACTGTAAGAGAGAAACGCTGGCCTGGTCTGTGTGTTTATGCATGTAATCGAGCTCAGCTCTTAGGCACTTTGGAAAGATGCTGATTGGCTGTGATTGTGTTGCATCACAACAGTTCAGACACACTGTAAGTGTCAGGAAGAGAGTGAGGCTGGAAAACAGAAATCTAAATGATGACAAACATACATTCATTGATTGATTAATTGATTGATTGTTTTTTTCCATTTAATTACAATTTAATTAATTAAAATACTTTTTTATTTGTAAATTTTAAAATGTGTAAATATTTTATTTTTTTGTTTTCATTTGTAACATTTAAAGTGTTACAAAATGTTAAATTTTTAAAATGTTTATTTTAAATTTAACCTTTTAAAATTGTATTTTATTTTTTCTTATTTTTTAGAACCCACTGATATTTCAGTGGTTAGATATTAATGCTAATTTTAAAAGAAATTTTACCAAATAATTTTTGCTTAATTTCCCCATTTATTTTTTTTTGTTATTCTTGATTCTTGATCATTTTAGGACATTTTACTTAATTTTTAGTGCATCAAAATGTAACTGTTTACTAATTTAATGAAGCCTCAAAAAAACATTTACCTCAAAAAATCTGAATCTCTCCTTCAGTCCGGTCAGTGGCTCTCCAGCTCTGAAAGATTTCCTGTTCTGAATGTTTCCTAAATGTTTAAAGCATTCTGTTCTGTTCTGTTCTGTACATTTGAATCTTCTCTGAACATTCTGAAATAAGTAGTAAGATTTAAAAACCTTTAGACGAACATCCAACCAATCCATGTATGAAGTATAAATAATGTTTTTGTGCTACCATTATTAAAGTCCAGATAACTTAGAACAAATGTTCTATTAATGTTAGCGGAAGAAGGTTTGTTCAAAGTCAAGCCCAGACAAAGTGAATATACGGCAGAAAGCAATTACACACACACACACACACTCCCACAGTAATTCATCTGGTGTCAACAACACACATGCACACACACGCACACACACACACACACTCACAGTAATTAATCTGGTGTCAACATCACACGCACGCAGTAAAACACTCTCACATCAACAACAGCAGACTGGGAGTGTTTAAGTTTGATGAGTGTTTATTGTGTTGTGTGATTGTGACACAAAGCCTGTTCATATTCACACAGCATTGTTCTGTGGGGTTACATACGTGATTTCAGGACAGCGTTTGTGAGCTTTTATTCTGTAGATACACACACAGTGAGAGAGAGAGAACGAGAGAGGACATAAATCTACTGACACTATCTCCGGATCATTTTCTAGTGTCGACCTTGGCAAATGTGCAGGCGGCAGGAGAGAGAATAGGACGATTGTGTGTGTGTGTGTGTGTGTGTGTGTGTGCACACAAGGGCTTTTTTTTGGGCCATTTGTTTGTGCTTGTTTTATAGAGCAGTTATATGGGACATCACTAAACATACTACAGAAACAAAACCATTGACATCACTGCAGAACATGTCCATGTCATATTTCATTTTCAAAATTAAGGATAACTATCAAATCTTAATATACGTATAAATTTAAAGTATTATTACGGTATTTTGTACATTAAAATCCAGGTCATATTTCACCCAAAATAAAATTAATAAATAATAATATAAAAAATTACTTTAATTGAATAAACTGAATTTATCTAAAATAATAATAACAAAAACTTATTTTATTTCAGCTAATTTCCAAAGCTACATTTCTCAGTTTCATTTAGTTTAGCTTGATGTACTAAAACAATAAAATGACAAAAACACACAACAAAAATATTCAAACTTTAATTAAAATGAAATATATATATATATAAATGTATAATATTATCTCAATGATACTAAAATAACATATTTATATTTTTGTTACATTACATTCATATATTTTACAATATTCTCAATAAATGTATAAATCTGTGTACATTTATGCTAATTTATATTATTATTATAAATCTCAACAATAAAAGCATAATGAGAATTTAGGTTTAAAATGTGCCCTATCGTGTATAAACATTTGTTAATTTATACGTTATTTTTAATTTATTTCAGCAGATTTGTTTTTGAATGATTAAAATTATTACAATTAAAGTGTATTTATTTTATTTTCCTATTTTAACAGATTTGGGTTTTTGAGTTTTTAATAGTTATAATTATTTTTTTTATTTTAGTGATTAAACATTTTATTTTAGGTTTTATTAAATTTTTTACATTTATTTATTTATTATTTAAATTGTATTATTATTATTAATTATATTATTTTTTTATTTTGTAGTTGAGAGTCCAGGACGTCCTGCTGTAGGATTCATCTCTGCTCTGC